GAAGCTATGTTTTTGCTGCTTTTTGTTGAAGTTGTTTACTGGTTGAGGTTCATGCTTACTAAAGCTGGGGTATTTTTCTGAAGATAGGAGTTTACCTAAAATTTGAAGGTCATTGAAGAGTGAAGATGGGGTCTTGTTTGAAGTTGCTGCTGTCATTCCCATTTGCTGATTATCAACTGTAGCTGTCAGAGCTGTTGCTGCTTGTGTTGCTTACTGTAGAAGTTGGTTTGTTGCTGTCAGAGCTGGTGCTGGTGTTGTTTTCTTTTTCTGTATTGTTTGTTGGCCTGTTCAGCTTGCCCCCAAGGTTTGAAGTGAGTACTATTTCACTTTGCCTATTGTTTTCCCGGGTTCGAGGTAGAGTGGGACTCCCTTGCCTCGCTTGTACTGCTGCATTGCATACATGTTTAATGTTTACTATATATATCTGTTCCTTTCGTTGTTTATCCCCTAGGATCTCTGTTTCCCTCTGTGCAAGAGAGAAATATGACAAACAATAGGTTTTTATCCATGCATGACAACTTTAGGGTAGTTTTGATTCCCTTTTAACCCTAGGTTTTTTTAGAGCTTCTTTCTCTTCTATCTCAAAACATTTCAAAACACAGTAATAAGGATAATCGATGTCGTACGCTACGAGCCTTAATCTATTTGAGAAAAGGTTGCTGGAGGGTCACTCTTCAGTAATCTGATTGCTTAGTGTGTTACCCTTAGGGTGACATACGACGTAGTCACTCTCAAATCATAGTCTCTAGTGCGTCAGAGATTGCAAACACACTAAAAAACACTTCTTTCGTAAAAGATTAAAAACACACATCAACGTGTCATTTTTGTCCGCTTGGACTCTTAATCAAGAAAAAAAACCTTTTCAGAAGGATCTAAAAGACAGTCAGACAAGCTTGTGTCTTCCGTAGCCCGAACTACGTTTGCTCTGATCTTTCATGCTGTATGAAAATACGTAGGCATAGGATGTTGTATCCTAGCGAGCAACCTTCCCCTCCTTTCTCGTAGGTAGGTGAACTACGTTGACTCTGATTTCTCGTTCCAGACGGGAATACGTAGGCATAAAGTGCGATACTTTGCCGAGTCATTTTATTTTCTTTTAACCCTTGACCCTTTAGAGTAGATAGAATAACAATCCGTACTAGAAAACAAGCGTGGATCCCGTCGAGTACGACGGACGTGAGGGGTGCTAATACCTTCCCCTTGCGTAACCGACTCCCGAATCCAGGATTTGGTTACGATGACCATTCCTTTCCCATTTTACGTTAGGTTTACCCTGAGCGTTTCCTTTCCCTCCTTTGGGATAAATAACGCACGGTGGCGACTCTTCTGTCATAGCCGACGCCGATTTTCGCAGTAGCGACAGTTGTTACCTCATTTTTCTTCCTCTTTGTTAAGATGCTTAAAATTGATTTTACCTTATATGATTGGTCTTGTAAGAACCTCACCATGTCCTTCTAGATATCGTAATATCTTTGTGCAATATGGCTGTAACCATTTGATTTGATTATAATCTGTGCTTGATGTTGTCGTATGCTTGCATCTCTTCCTTGGTTGTCACCATACTCTTTTATATGTTCATCACGTTTAAATGAATGCTTATGTATGTTTTTTAACTTTGTTAAGTTATTCCCCAAGTGATGGAACTTGTTAGTTCTCATCAAGTTGTCTCCTCTTTTCCCATTCCAAAGGAAAGTCTCTCTATTGACCCTTGGGTCATAGGTAGCTCATTACCCTCTTTTTGACTTTGTTAAGTCATCTTGAACCATAACTTAGTTAAGTTAGAACCTATATTCATTAGACTTTGCTTTAAGTCTAAAAGACCTACCCCATGTTAGGAATATCTTTCAACTAGAAATTTTAGATAGAGTTTGTTAACTCTATGTAAGAATCATTGTCATGATTACTTACTCCCCTCTTGGCTTTTATCAAAGTAAATTTCCTTTGAGTGTTAAACTTAGATCTATGAGAGTTTTGTAAAACTCTATGCAAGCATTGTTATGTTTGTTCCCCCTTTGAACCTTGATCATAATCAGGTGTTCATCTATCCTCGGTGAGGCGAACTACGGTTACTCTGATTCTATCCTAGTTAGAATATGTAGGCAGAGGATGTGATACCTTTGTGAGAAAACTTACAAACTACCTTTAGGTATTTACCTACATCCCTAACCTTATACCCAATCCCAAACCATGCCAAACATTTAGCAAGTATAGCATGCAAACAAACAAAAGGTTCCTGTAGAGTACTATAGATGTTTAGGATGTGAAATACCTACCCTAAGCATAACCAACCCCTGATCCCCGAACTCTTAGCGTTATTGTTACATCGCGCAAAAAGGTTTTTCTTTCTTTAAACCTTTCCTTTGGATAAATTAAAGTCTGGTGTTGTGAATTTAAAGAATTAAGATTCAAGTTAATCAATAGCTTAACATCACGATTCTCACTGCAACATATGTCTGCACGAATTAAAATTATTTTGCACGATATAATTGCATTCAAATACACATTGAAAGTAATATTTATGCATGTTTTCTTGTATGAATCTAATTGGTTGTGTCCTGATCACTTAATGAAATATTTCAATCATATTTTTAACATTTTAGAGACAAATGCAAATGAATGATATTCCAATATTTATATATGGTTTCTTATCTAAATCCAACTGGTTGTATCCTGTGTCATTCCAAAATATAAACTTCTTATATTAGATTTAATGTTAATTGTATATAAATAATAATACAGTACAACCATATTAAGGATCATTGTGTGTTATTGGAAGGATCGTTGTGTGTTAGGTTCAATACATAGTTGCAATTTCCATGAGGACCAAGATCCACATTGTTTTTCATTATTTTTAAAAAATAGATTAGTTCAAATTTCCATCCAAAAAATTTGTAGAATCATCAATGAACGAAAAAATTTAAAGAATTGTGAGCTGATGCTAGTAAAGGAACCCTGTCAAAAGAATAAAAGCCACCTTGAAATGCATTACTTATAATTAATGTATGTCTAAAATTCTACTGAGAGAATAACATCAAACACATTAATTGATGAAATTGATGATAGTTCAATGACAAAGAAACATACATGAAATCCACACCAAATTGTTTATAATATTTCAAGAGTTACCCTCTCAAAATCAACATTACATGTAAATCTAATCAACAAATGACATGACTCACTTAGTTTTTAAATCATTCTCGTGCCTTTCCAAATAACTTATTTGTAATTTGTTCTCTGCACTGACAACACAAAAGACACGGTTATATAGTGAGAAATTCTACAAAATATTATTACTACCATTATCACTATAATAGCCAAAAAAATAGAATAAAAGGTTAAATAAAATAGGATAAAAGAAATAAAAAGGAGAAAACAGAAAACAAAAACAACATATATAAAAAAGAAAAGAAAATAGGTATCAACATATCTAAACAAAAACAAATTGAAAACGACATAAAGAAAACACAAACAAAAACAACAACATAAGAAAAACTGCATCAACATGAAAACACATTAACATAAAAACAACAATAATAAACAAGGTCAATCAAATGAAGAAGACAAATATAAACTTAAATCTTAATCAACAACATCAAAAACTTTATAATAGAGTTCACTCAAAGAAACACAGTAAATCAGTCAACAATCTTGATGTTTTTTAAATGGTTTAAAGCAAATAGAAAGCAACAGAAAACAACAAAAATAAGTGAAAGAATACGAAACCGAAACCGAACAACAAAGACAATGCTTCATTTTCAATGCTTTCTTTTGACATTCGATGACAAAAATATAGAGCTGAGAGAGTCGTGAAATAGAGAGGTGTAATAAAGGTAAAATAAAGAAGCGAAACCGAAAAACAAAGTGATGCCATTACAATCGACGATATAAAGTAATATGGACATACCCTGTAGATTGAGAAGAAGAAGATGATGATGATGAAATATGAGATGTAGAAAGTGAAGAAGAAGATGCGTGTAATACCTAAAAAAATGAGAAAAAGAGATGCTAGTGAATAACATGTGAAGAAGAAAATATGAAGCCATAAGAAAAGGAGAAAGGTAAGTGGTTAGCATATTTTGAAAAGAAGACAATAGGTTCTCAGAGTGTAGATTCCATGTTCTTTCTTGAGGTTGAGTGAAGTTGGCAAAAAGTTCTTATGTGTTGTTTTTTGGAGAAAGAGAGCGAGAAAATCTAGCAAAAACATCTTCTATAAAATTATTCCTTGAAATCAATATTACAAAAGGAGAGAAGTTGAGAGAGAATACATGGCTCCAAAGGATTGAAAGAGAAGTGTAAAAATTTGAGATGATTTATCATTTACCTATTTGTCCTTGGGTTAGTGTAAAAAATAAAAACATAAAAGAGTAATTAAGAGCTAATGGAGTAGACTATGTTTAAAATTTAGTCTTTGTCTTGTGAACGACAAAACTTTATTAATAGGCAAAAATATTGTTTAGTTCCTTTAAGTTATTTTAAAATAACAAGTTAGTCCGTTAAGTTTTTTGGCAACGATTTGGTCATTTATTTTAACTAATGTTTGCATCGTTAACCTTTTCAGAATCTTTGTTCCAAAAATGCCAATGTGTCACAAACGGAGATGAAGTGGAATTTAACAACGATGATGTGTCATTGACGATTGCTGATTTGACATTTGTCTTATTCCTCAAATGATTAAGACTATATAATCCTCAGTTTTAGGTTACACAACCCTAATTTTCTTCTCACCCCTCATGAAGTTACAACTAGTGAAGGTAGTTACTCATCTTGCGTGTAGGATACATTGAAGGTGAAGAAACCCTTGTGTGCAACTACATTTAGGTACGTACACTTACACTCAATGGTAGTTTTCTGTGGTTCTCCTTTTTTTATTAGTTTTTTGAAAATGAAAATCCTGCATGATAGAACTTAGGTTGATGGTTAGGTTAATGTTGCTTACCTGTAATGGTAGTTTCCATTGTAGGGTATGTTTCTTATTTTAGATTGATATAAAAAGGAACATAATGGTTATGAATGAATTTTATGTTGACTATCATCATGGGGGGTATTTCGTTGATGAAAAATATATAGGAGGTGAAGTGTCAAACTGGAAGTGTGATGGTGAAAGATGGAGTTACTTTGAAATATTAGGAGTTGTTAAAGAGATGAAGTATCTAGAAGTTCAAGAAATATGGTATGACTTTGCTGGAACATTGAAGGCGTTTGAAGATGATTTTGGTGCAATAGAAGCACTGAATTGGTCCAAGACTATGGGAAAGGTTGACATATATATAGTCTACCCTATTGAAAAACCTGAAACCCAAACTCATGAGTTTATGAGGCCCAACCTGAGGACCAAAATGATGATGTTTGTGAGGACCAACCTGAGGACCATAATGATGATGTGTGCGAGGACCAACCTGAGGAACAAAATGTGGATGTTTGTGGAGACCAACCTGAGGAACAAATTTTATGTTGACTTTCATCATTGGGGGGGGGGGTATTTCGTTGATGACAAATATATAGGAGGTGAAGTGTTAAACTAGAAGTGTGATGGTGACAAATGAAGTTACTTTGAAATATTGGGAGTTATTAAAAAGATGGAGTATCCAGAAGTTCAAAAAATATGGTATGACTTTGATGGAACATTGAAGGCGTTGGAAGATGATTTTGGTGCAATAGAAGCACTGAACTGGTCCAAGACTAAGGGAAAGAATGACATATACATAGTCCACCCTATTGAACAAACTGATTTAGTAGTTGCCATACCTGAAACCCAAACTCATGAGTTTGTGAGGCCCAACCTGAGAACCCAAATGATGATGTTTGTGAGGACCAACCTGAGGACCATAATGATGATGTGTGTGAGGACCAACCTGAGGAACAAAATATGGATATTTGTGGGACCAACCTGAGGAACAAAATATGGATGTTTGTGGGGTCCAGCCTGATGAAAAAAATATGGATGTTTGTGGGGACCAGCCTGATGAACAAAATGTGGAAGTTTGTGTCGACCAACTTGATGAAAAAAATATGGATGTTTGTGTGGACCAGCCTAAGGAACAAAATATGGATGTTTGTGTGGACCAGCCTGAGGAACAAAATGAGCCCTAACATGATAATAGTGATGAAAGTGCATTAGGAGAAAGAGATTTTGTTGACTCAGATGATGAGGTTTTAAATGATGGATTTTCTGAAGTATTGATATACTAGCAGATGAAACAACTCAAATAAGAAAGAGGAAGGGGGGGAGACCATAAAAAAAGAAGTCAAAAGTCAGTTCCAAAAAGCATAAGGGAAGACCTAAGAAAAAAGATATGGATGAAGGAAGTTTAGTTCCTATCAGAAGTGATGAAGCATCAAGTGATGAAGATGTCATTGATTTTGGAGTTAGGGAAAGAAATACATGTAAGAAGGTATGTCGTGGTTTGTCAGATTCTGACTATGCAACTGAGGACTTAAAGAGTGAGGATGACATTAATAGTTGTTGCGGTTAGAATATGATATCAAATTATTAATTAATTTGAATCGCATCTTTAGTTCACAACCGCTCTTTGATTTATCTGAAGGAAAAGGTCAAAAGAGGAAAACCTAATTTTGCATCGTAAAGACAATGCGGGGAGAGATCTAGGTAAGGGGTTGGTTAAGCTTAGGGAAGGTACTAGCACCCTAAACTTCTGTAGTACTCTACAGGAACCTTTTGTTTATTGTATGCTTTTTTATTTTATTTTTTATCTGTTTGAAATATATTGCTAAGGGATAGAGTGACCTAAAGACCTAAGGGTTAGTCCTAAGTTTACTCGGCAAGACGTCGCGTCTTGTGCCTACGTATCCTGGATAGGGAATGGAATCAGAGTAATCGTAGTTCCCCTCGAAAGGGAGATTAGAAACTTCTTGACTGTGGTCAAGGTTTCAATGGGAGTAAACGTATCTTAAGGACATGCTTACGTGGAGTCTTGAAACTCCTATTTCTATGTTGAAAAGTTGAATTAAAATTAGGGTTGAAATTAGGGATTCCACGGCGGGAAACCCTAAAGCATTAGGGTTTGGAAACGGTCAAAAATTAAGGTTATTGACTCGGCGGTCAAACGGCTAGACCTAATTCCTTCGGAGGGATTCTAACGGTAAAAACATGCAAAATACGACAAATTACTATTTGGCAGAATTAAAGTGCGGAAAAATAAATAAAGCGGTAAAAAAAGCATCGCGACGATCACTCGCGTAAATTACAAATTCCCAAAAAATGCAAAATAAAATAACTGCGACTATGGTCTCGCGTAAATTACATCCATGGAACAAAAACGAACAAATGACATAATAACGAGTTGAAACAAACAAATTAACGAGGGTTAGACAAAAATGAAACGGCTAAATCAAAACTTATTTCTTTTTGAGTTTTTATTGAGAAGAGGAGAGGAGAATTAATTTCATGCTTAAATGGAGAAACTATTCTAATTATTTACTAAAAATTTTAATAAAGAAACCGGTTTTAATTTTAATGAAAATGTCTTGAAAAAAATGTTTTAATTTTATCGAAAATAAATGTTTTAAATTTTAATGAAAAAATTTGATTTAAATTCAACGAAAAAGGTTTTAATTTTTGTTTTAGTGAAAGAAAGGTCATTTTTTAATTTTTGTGTTAACTTAATGAAAAATGGTTTTAATTGGAAAAAAACTTTCATTAAGAAAAACTGTTTTATTTAGAAATATGTTTTTAAATAAAAAATGGTTTAATTTTTGAAAAAAAACTTTTTAGAAAGATCTTAATTTTTAAAAAAACTGATTACGTTATGTTTTTTTGTTGAAATAGCTTACCTAAACTTAATTGCATTATTAATTACAAACTGCATAGTTAATATAAATGAAAAAATAAACAATTGAATAATAAAATAAAAAAATGAAACGTAAATAAAAAGGCTTCTGCCGTTTTCTCCCTGGATGACTATCGAAGCTTTTCCTCTCCTTCAATCCTTGCATGTCATCTTCTATTTATTCTTCCCATTGATCTACAATCAATGAACAAAACAACACACAAAAATCATAAAATGCCGTAAATCAAAGGAAAGAGAAAGCTTACGGTAACGACGATGATGTTGAACGAACTGAGCCTCCGCCGTTGGGACTTTTTGCTCGCCGGTAGCGCTTGGCCGATGATGAATTCAAACCTTTTAGGATTCTTCCAAGAAAATTCCCTCTTCTGATAAATCGTGAGAACGGCCGCCGTTTTTCTTTTTTTCCCTTCTCCCCTTTTCTCAAATGCAACTCATGTTTATATAGGTAACAAATTAGGGTTAACTCTAACCTAATGCCTATTTTAAAGCACAACTTAAATAATTAGTCAAAACTAAAAAAAACAAACTTAAACAAACTTAAAAGAATAAAATCTTTTCTAATATTTTTAATTTTATGATTTTTGGATGTTTTTATGAGTAATATGGAAAAAAGTGAAAAAATAATATTTTTTAAAAAATAATTTAAATAAAATACGAAAATAATAATTAAATAATAAAAAAAAACTATTTTGTTATTTTTTTTTATAAAAATAGAAAAGTTAGAATAAAAATAAAAGAAAAACAAAAAGTGAAGAAGGTGGGATTTGAACTCTCGACCTCTCACACTCACAACTCCTTACACACGGTCTCTTGCCAATTGTGCCATTTTATTCATTCAAAATAAAGTGGCACTAGAAACTATGTAAAGGTAGGACAAATTTGGGGTGCAACAGATGCCCCTATTTAAATAGCTTCACCGGATGATTTGAGCAGCGGAGACTCGAGAAATCGCGGTGAAAGGGATTTAAATACAGATAACCGGAAATTTGGCCCCTAGATGTAGTGATATGCAATTATATGGACAAAATAACACGAACTATAATGCTGACAATGCCATGAATCTAATATGATGCGTATGATGAAAATGAAAAAAATGCACGGATGCAGACGAAACAACGTCACAGGGGACGGCGCAACGAGGAAATGCACTGGGGAAGAAGACACACGGTGGTGACAAGGTAACATATGATCCACACGGAGGCAGGACCAGGTAAACGACAGACGCTTGAGTTTTCGGGACATTCCTTGAAGAGATCGAGCGGGATCTTCCGGACTCACCAGAAAACATATATGGAGAGACAACATCAGAACATTTCGGAAGAACATCGAAAAGGAGACACGTCGTATCTGGAAGAACGTCAGATAGACATGACACGAAATAGTCGATGGGTGCCAAGTAAACTGGACTTTGTCCACAAGGTAAGACGCGGATAAAACACGACCTCGGGGAGAAAAATGCGAATGGGGATAAAACACCCATGCTGCCAAGTAACTAAATTCGTCCACAAGGTAAGACGCGGATAAAACACGACCTCGGGGAGAAAAATGCAAATGGGGATAAAGCACCCATGATGCCAAGTAAATAAATTCGTCCACGAGGTAATACGCGGGTAAAACACGACCTCGGGGAGAAAAATGCAAATGGGGATAAAGCACCCATGATGCCAAGTAAATAAATTCGTCCACAAGGTAAGACGCGGGTAAAACACGACCTTGGGGAGAAAAATGCAAATGGGGATAAAGCACCCATGATGCCAAGTAAATAAATTCGTCCACAAGGTAAGACGCGGGTAAAACACGACCTCGGGGAGAAAAATGCAAATGGGGATAAAGCACCCATGATGCCAAGTAAATAAATTCGTCCACAAGGTAAGACGCGGGTAAAACACGACCTCGGGAGAAAAAGCAAATGGGGATAAAACACCCATGATGCCAGGTAAATTGGACTTCGTCCACGAGGTAATACGCGGATAAAACACGACCTCGGGAGAAGAAGCAAATGGGGATAAAACACCCATGATGCCAAGTAAATTGGACTTCGTCCACGAGGTAAGACGCGGGTAAAACACGACCTTGGGAGAAAAAGCAAATGGGGATAAAACACCCATGATGCCAGGTAAATTGGACTTCATCCATGAGGTGATACGCGAGTAAAACACGACCTCGGGAGAAAAAGCAAATAGGGATAAAACACCCATGATATGCACATGTATAAGAATTATGCTATGATATATGATCACATGCAAATGCAGATGTCAATGACAAGGCTCGACTCTGTTGGTGAGATGACAAAACTGGAAAACTGATTCCTCAACCCGGAGATCACTGTCACTTGCTAAATTGTAATCAGGTTGATGATCCTCGTAGGAAGGATGGAAAGCCGCTTGGAGATCTTTCAAGTAAACTGCCCCAGATTAAATTGTCCATTACAGATGAACTGATAATTGCTTCAGCTTGTCTAATTCTGAAAATGACTGTTTTACTGTACCCTCGGAAGTTTTGCCCCAGTCTGAGTATTGAAAATCTCATGGATAAACCAGATCTGAGAAGACTTTGCCCCTGATAGGATCACTTGACCAAGTTTCTCGATTGTTTAAAATTTTCCTTAGAGGAAAGCCAGTTTGCAAACAAAAATATTCATACAAACATGGTAATGCAAAGTTCATGCAACTTTTGAAATCAAAATTATTTTTGAAAGATGAAAATTAAATGAGTCATCGATTAGAACGCGGCGGTCCAGGACGCTCAAAGTTTAATACAGGTATACGGCCAAAATAAATGATTCACAAAGATCTTTAGGAGTCAGCTTACGCAACCTTGATGTAGCATGCTTTCAAAATATCCTTGTTTCAATTAGGTCTTTTGAGGATTGTAACGTGGCCTGGTTCACGGTTTATGAAACAAAGGATAAAGGCTCAAAATTTGTTTGTTCCCACCCAATCTACGTGATAATCTTCAATCCTACGCTCAGTTAACTCATATTATGCATTCAGGTTCCTATAGGTTAGGAATTGCACTGATGGTAGTAATGATGGTTCGAAAGTCAAGGGACTCTTGAGATGGTCGTCACTACTTTCCTATAA